AAAAATGTTAAACTCTTTTTTTTTAATATTTTTTACTTCAACAAGGACATCCAGTACACATCACATTTCATATATCATATTATTGACATAAAATCATATTTTAAACTGAAACCGAACTGAGTAAACTTGAAGTTTCCGGTGTTGGTATTTCCACACACCAATTATGTAGCTGTTAAATTTAACATTGGCAATGTGTTGAGAAGTGTAAACAACAATAAAAACAGTATTGCAGCTTAAAGCTCCATATTCACGTATCTGTGCACTCTAGTTTTAATAAATTGTGCATAAAACAATGAGAATCTTATAATTATAGATTACAACTTTATTTAGTGTTAAATGTGATACGCAAAGATTTTTTTACAAAAAAAACGATAAAAAATTCAATAAGATAAACACACACTCAGCTACTTTAAATAGTAGTTATTAACCTTTCACGAACGCAATAAAACAAGAAACATGGCGTAGTTGGCTTTAATTGCTTAGAGGTTATATTCATCGTAAAACACTTTAGAGTCAGCATTAATAACAGTAAATGTAATGTTCTAATAAACACTAATGACACGTTTTGAATTGTATGAAGCTCCTAAGCTTACGTAAAAAAAACGATTATATAATAACTTTGCCAATAAATATTAGGTCTAGTTGAAAGCAATCCATTATTATTGCAACTCCACTGAAGCCTTCTAGTGGCGGGTATTTCTCTTGTGTAGGTGAATAGCGCTAGATGGTCATTTAACTCAGCAGTGTTTGGAAGCTTTCCGGTAATTTTGATGTAAAACATATTCACGTGTGGAAGATCTAGTGTCGAAAATGTCGATAAAATAATGGAAACCGCAGAGTCTGACCACTATGCGAGCACTGCTTTGATAGCCCAGTATGAGACCACTTGAAATACACAATGAAACTTGATGTATGGACGTCACATGAGCAAATGAGAAAAAACCTCAGAATTACAAAGAAATCGATCACGATTGAAAGGTAAATTGAAAATGGTCTGCATAAACAAAGGATTGACGGTTTGTAAAGTTTTGTTGTTCGTTTGGTGGGATGGACAAGAAATCATCCACTATGAGTTGGCCAAACGCTTAAGTAGGACCTGTATTGTCAGCGATAGTGACTCATTGGAAGTTCTGAGCTCTTTGTTGGGAGGTTATTATGCATCTGCCGTATAGTTCGGACCTCGCACCAAGTAATTCCCATCTGTTTCTATCTATGGCGAATAATTTGGCTGATGAAGGATTGACCTCTAGAGAAACCTCTGAAAATCAATTGTCCCAATCAGTAAAGAATATTTGCCTGGTCTGGCTTAAGAAAATTTAATGACGACAGAAACTTTACAAAATATTTAACACCCAATGAAGTCGCAGCATGGGTATATTTTCAAAAAGTTTGGCACCACTTTCTCTGTAAACGAAAATGACAAAATTTTTATCAATTTATTAGCGATTTGTTGGAAAGTTATCGAGAGACTGGATTAGCTTGTGTGTCTCTAAAGACATATGTATATTTCATACATTCTAAAATCAACTTTTCCCACGAAAACTTTTGCGATACAACGGTACATTGGGCAACATTGAGCGTCTTGGGATGAAGACATGTTGAACGCCTACTATTGGACTCTAATACGTGAAATAGATCCCAAGCAATATGAAAGCTCTTTAACTTAAACATTTCATTAATTAAACTACCACAAAATGGTTCAAAATCATAACTTTATACAATGAATCAAAAGCTAGAATCAATCTTAACAAACGGAGTGAAATGTGGGATTTAGCGAAGTAAAGTATCATATAATCAATATTTGGTGTCTTGATCCAAGGCCGTGTATACTGTGTCAATGCAGGCTTGCTGACATTCACATCTTTATATTTCATTTATGTTTCATCAGAAATATAAGTAAATGGTGATTTTTAAAGAGCTAGAGTTTTTCAAAAAAAAACACATAAAATACAGAAACTTACATGAAATCTTTATTTGAATCGATAGTAAGGTCCTTATAATTTAATGTTTGAAGATTATTTCATGCGAATGTTGACCGTAACTGCGCCTCAAACGGTCTATCCGCTTGATCCAATATTGGCTTTCCATTGTAACGCGTGCTGTGAGGCATGTGGCCCTGTCTTGTTGAAACCATATGTCTTGCAAGTAAAGATCTTGTATTTTTTGCAAAAAAAAAGTTTGATATCATCTCACGGTAGCGCTCACCATTAACGAAACGCGCGTCAGCTATTTCAACCAGTGTTGTCAAAAAAATGATAGCTAAAAAATCACCTTTAAAATTCTTCTGATTGCATGCATCCCTCGCAATAGTAATCCAGAACTCCATAGAGAGGCCTTTAAATGTGTTGTTGCTATTTCAGAGCATATAAAAACTTGGTAACTAACAAATTTGTGCTACATTAACTTTTGTCCGAAATATGTTAGGATATATCTTCATCAAAATTTATACCAAAATTATCAGAATGACGAGTTGAGTTGATTTAGCCGTGCCCATCTGTCCGTCATTTTGCCCGCAAACAAATTCTCAGTTTACAGTGAGATGTTTCAACCAAAACTAAATACATACATACATATAACGAGTTATATATTGATATTGAAAACTAACAAAATCGGAATTCTAGACTATATAATCACCACACAACCGATTTGCTCAGATGTGAGAATTAATATTAAATTCTAAAATGAAAAACCATAAATTCGATACGGATGTGAAAGGTATAAAGAATTCAGCACCGTCGAAGACAGCTCTTCTTTCTTATTTTTAAATAATTTCTTGGTCATAAATCAAGATTGACTCAAACATACATACATACGAGTATGTTTATGAGTAAACCTCTCCCTTGAATGAGTACGAAAAGCAATAATAAATACGAGCCGCACGAGATTTATGGTTTGCGTTTACAAAACATTTGCGAATTTAGTTGAAAATTGTAAATGTCAATAGCTTTAATAATGTTATTATTGTATTTTACAATACTCTTTACATACATATCTATCTTTTAACTCTTTCGTATTGGCTCAGCCGTTTGAAAAAATTAAAATCCAACCTTTGATTTTTGCTATCGTTTCTTTTTAATTTACTAAAAATTAGGTATATGTGTATGCGTTTGACTTAAAATATATATAAAAATGTAGGTATGTATGCATGTGTATACATGTCTAGATATGTAAATGTTTGATTTTGACGCGTGTCTGCGAAGAAGAAGGTCGTTTAGTCAATGGACTGGGCGACTATATATGCATGTGTACATGCATACATACATATATGTGCAGTTAAAAAATTGTAAATTTTGTTATATGAAATTTGTTCATTAAAGCGCATAAAAGAAACATCCAGACTATGAAGTTACCGAATGGATAAACAATGAATTAATGAGGTTTAAATGGAAAACGACCAAGAAAACAATAGAAAAGTTTTGTATTCGGCCATATCGAAGCACTTTTACCATTCATGAGTATAATTTCACGCTTAGATAGACCTTTTTGCAGTTTTTTTTTTATAAAGCTCATATCCGATTTTATTATTTTTCAGTGATATTTTTTTTTTTGATGACTCCCGGGATAATGAATCACTATCTACTGCTATACCGACAATTCATAACAGTATGCACAACTTGCAACTTCACAGTGCATCTTCGTACTAAGAACCTATCCACCTATCCACCTCCACACCTCTAACCACCAATATCTCCGCGGAACTAATAATGAAGTTTTACCTAACGAAGTTGGTAAGCACAATAGCTCTTAAGCATTTCTGAGGCCACTCTCCGGCTTACCATCTTCTTATGCGGGCGGAAAACCTCAGATACCAGGGTTTTCTCAATGAAATAAGGAGCATAGTCAGAAAAGGTTTTTTTCTGATCTCCATTTCTACCACAAAGAATGACTAAAATCGAAGTAGGGCAACCGAAAGGGCCTTGTTTCTACTCCGCTCTGTTAATAGGCTATTAAGTGTAGTCGAAAAGGACGAGTTAAATCAGCTGCATTACAGAAGAATGTGCTCTTCGTTTTCCATCTCACCATTTGCTATAACAAAAGTATGGTTTATACGTGCGTATGCAAGTCTTGACGAAAGCAGCAATACTTAGTGAGCTAATAATCAGTTTCAACGTGCTGTAATTTGACGCTTGAGATCAGATTGTTTGTCCATCTTCCTTTCGGAGACGAGTTTCACTTTTGCTGCAACTCCTTTATACTTTATTGAATGATTGCTTTACTTGTAGTTGGATAACGCCTAATTTCTGGCCACTAGTGAACGTCTTCGAGCCAATGTCTGAGCACTGTCCCGAATGCACTACATATCCTTATCGACGCCAATCTCTCTCCCTAAAACTGGTACCCTCATGTAGGCTGGTATCAGTGCGGCATTAGTACCGCGTACATTAGGATGGAAGAACTGACGCTCCCAAGTAGTTTTATTCTTTGTTGTCTTAGGCTTCCTATTCTTGGCATGAAGCTTGCAACACCCACACCGACTTTACCAGCTTTTTCGCTAGAGTATTTTTCTTGCTCAACGACTTTACGACTCAAATCTCAAATTTCAAAATATATGTAGCAACGGTCCGATCTGGCTGAATCCGGCAAATCATTGTTTATATGGAAAAATGTGTACACCGGGTAAGCTTAAAATATCTCAAAAACTGATCGACTAGTTTGCGTTCAAACAGACGGATACCCAGACAGGCAGGTAGACAAAAGGACATGGCTAAATTAGTACATCTCGTCATTCTGATCGTAAGGGTTTAAATTTTCTCTTCTTTAACTGGTGCTTACATACTTCGTATGAAAGTTAATGTACAATTCCATGTGCGCGAAAGGTGAAAAATATGATGGAGGCATAACTCAATTAGATATAACCGCAGTCTTTTCTTTCTAGCATAGAAACGTGGGCTTCTTGTTTTGATTTTCAGTTCGTGATTTTTTATTAGTATTTTCAAAACTTCTATATATTTTTTTATAAACTTTCTTTAATTTATATAATTTTATTTCTTTACTTCCAGATGTTAAATCTTTGCTACATTTATTATCTCTCCAAATTAACCGAATTTGCCGACACAATTTTCTTTGTGCTGCGGAAAAAGTCATCACAAATAACTTGGCTTCACGTGTACCATCACTCCGTGACGCCATTGGAGACCTGGGTGCTGGTTAAGTTTTTAGCTGGTAAGTTGAATTTGCTGTGTAGATAAGACCTGCGTTGAAAGGTTGAATTGCACTTAAAATAATTTATATGTTCACCAAGCGTAAAAGCTAAGACGGAATGACTGAATACGTCACTAAACAAGACTTTAAAATTGTGAGGTTATCTTCTATCAGGAATTTCGGGATTTTCTATTTGATACACATTTACAAGCAGAAAAGATAGGGAAAAATGTATTCATTGCAGCGTAGAAGCAGCTTCTTTTTGTAATGTCGAGAGCTGCCTTAAAATCGTTGAAAAGTTGATGTGTATCTACTCTATTCTTACGGGCCTTTTGTACATTTTTACACAAGTTCAGTGATGGATTTTCCAGACTTAAAGCAATGGTAATGACCAATCAGTTTGTTGACGGTGAGATTTTCTGCTTTACACAGACTGTGAGGTCCACTTTCAGTAGATAAGCTGATGCATGCTCGGACGATTGCTATTCGAACTTCTTCATAGTCGGCTAAAGAAACATCTGTTCCATGCTCACCGAAGTTTCGACTATTAGCCCGGTCGGCCGGTTGTTGACGCCAATTATAACTAGGGGTTTCATTTTCGTTCTTTTTTTGTCTGAAAAGGCGCATTTCTTCCTCTTAAGCTCTCAATATCTCTACCAGCCCAACGATGTTCTGGTCGACCGCAAAGGTTAAGGCTCGAGAAACTTACTGCTTGATTTCTGTTGTCTACAGCTCGACATTCCTCATCGCTCCAGTCTTTTTTCTTACATTGTCGAAAACCAATTTTTTTTATAGCAGCGGCTCGGATGAAATACCGTTGACCATGTCGTTTCACGGTTCGGCAGTTCCCTTGTATCGAATTTCGGATGAGAGGTCTTCAGAACGTACATCTAGAACTCTGAAAAAAATGTCGTCCGTCTTCATGAACGATCTGGTTATGAGTTTTTCTTCTCTTCCTCTGGAGCGTGGACGTAAAATCAGCGAAATATTGAAAAATTTCGGCGAGGTGTTCATCGACCAAACTAGGACTCGCCGACGTAGTCTCTTAGCAACCACCTACAAAGCGGACATCTACTTCTGTCCTTGATCCGTACATCGTACTTCTTGGACGGCGGGGATGACGGCATTTAGTCTTGGCACCAACCAGGTGTGCGCGGCTGCTTCTCACATTCCTTTCTTCTCACCGGTATTTGCATGTTTTTCAGTGAAGCAGATTTTTCCCAAACCCTTCGCACAACTACTTATTCACTTTAGGTTGCGCTGCTTGAACCAATTTAAAGAATCATTTCTAGCCACAGTTATAGGTCTTCTTGCAGGTTAGAGCGGCAATCTTTGAAGACTTAAGCAAGATAGCGAGGGCGGCAAGATGCGACAACTGCTCAGTTTTGCAAAGCGGGTAGGGGTCATTGGACATCACGATGGGCCCGTTTGGGGTCTATGAGAGCTGATGCCCGGCAACCACTTCAACCAACCAACCAATAATTTTCTACACATGACCACATCCTCTATTCAACAGAACATAGTTGTAAATAATACTTATTTTACCAAATTATTTTGTTTTAGAAAAAGCGAGGCAATTAATGTTTATAAAAGGATTATCTAACGACAAATATAATTATTTTATCTAAAATCTTTATGATTGTGTAAATATGCTTAAATATTGTATTTAAAAATTTTTTTCGATTTAAATACTAAAATATTTTAGTGCGTAGTTTGCCAAAAATTAAATATTTATAAAAAAAAAAAAAACTTAACACTTTTGCAACATTTTCACAGGTGGCAATGCGACATTCCCCAATCTGCTGAACAACTTCGTGCACGTTTGCATGTATTTCTACTACATGATGTCGGCCATGGGACCAGAATATGCCAAATTTCTGTGGTGGAAAAAGTATATGACTGAATTGCAAATCGTAAGTGCCACACCGCCAATACAACAACTACCAAAATATATTTTTATTTAAATACACAAACTAACAAATACACAACTTCTACTCAACCACTTTGTGCTAAAATATTTTAAACAAAATTAATTTTGTCCTCGTCTGCACACACGAAGAAAAAAATATTTTTTGAAAATATAAATGAATGCGAGCCAAAAAACTAGAAAATTTACTTAAAAAAAAATATGCATAAAATAATTTTCGACCACAAGTGTGCACGTAGTTTTGTGCTAGAATTATCAACTTGTTGCCAATGGACCACATTCAACCGACGAATCAGCAATGGCAAGAGAAACGAAATAGCTTACCCGAAATCAAATAACATGCAAAGAATTTTGGTTTAAATAAATAAGCTTAATTTGTAATTGAAAAAACCTGTTGGAAAATTCTGCATAGATCATAACGCATACATTTAAAAATACTTATTCACATGTGTGAGTGTAGTTGTAATGTTATGTTAGCGTTAAGTGCTGAAGAAACAAAATCAGCCGGAAAATCTTAGGTAATTTTTGTTTATTTACATGCAAATATTTGCAGCCAAAATAACGCTTGTTTATTTACATATATTATGTGCACATATGTTATACAAATGTATGAATGAAAGACCAAATGTGGAAACACGTTTCATCTCAATAGCAAACAATAATAATTTGCAAGAGCTGGCATTAGGTCAGGTCAATTGGTGTATGGAAAGTAAAAATATCTTTATATGATGACCGCAATAATCTTGTGGTTAGCAGTGCATTCAGGGGCTCGAGTGCTGGTTCGATCTATTTCCAAAATTATAGAAAACTATTTTTCATACCTTTTGTGTAAGTATGAAAAAATCAAAAGGAAAAGAGACTGATCCCTTAAAATTTTATACAAATCAGACCAAAATGACCAGTTGAGTTGATTTAGCCATGTCCATCTGCTTGCCCTTCTGTTCGTCTGTTTGTAGGCAAGCTGTTGCTTCAAGGGGAGAGGTATATTTGCTTTGCATCTAACTTATACAAGAAAAAATATATATCCAAAAAATATAATCCCTCAGTTTTGAGATATTACAACCTAACTTCACGGAACCAGTGCTGAAAATTATCGAAATTAGGGAATTATGTCATATGGTCCCCCATACAAGTCAATTTTTCAGATGTGAGGTTTTTGGGTTATAAATTCGTCAGAAAAACATTTACAATCATGAGATTTGGTATTCCACACACGTATATAAAAAAGAATATTGACACCGAAAATCATAAAAATTGGCAGACTATATCATAAAGCCGCCATACAAACTATTTGTTCAGTTGGGAAAAATAATATTTAATCCGAATTTGAAATAATATAAACTTGATATGGCCATAAAGTTATAAAGACTTCAGCTGGGCCGAAAGCAGCTCTTCTACCTTGCGGTCGCTAATCGGCGGGGATTGTCAATCCCTCCTTGTGTGTTTCTATTATGAAGTAAAAGCACCTCATAGTAGTCCATCAGACATTCGGAGGCAATTGAGAATAGATTGTAACACTCTCCATTTGTTGGAGAAACATCAAGATGAGAGGAGGACCTGGACTGAAAAACGCTTTAGCGGTTACATGCTTACATATGTAAGAATTTTGTATTTTTCAGTACTGCTTAGTAGTTTTTTTTGTAAGAAGTTTGTTATTCTCTCAATGCTCGCGCGATACTCGTTCGATGCACAACTGCTCAAATGTGTGTTTGAAATTTTTTAATATTAAATTTTGTCTGTCGAAATTTCTTTAGGAATTCTAAGATTTTTACGCTTAACATAAATTAATTTGAAATTATAGAAAAAAGTGCTGAGTAAAGAGTCGGTATTTTATTTTCAAAAGGCTCGAGTTACTCGAGCTAGTCCCTGTAGCAACAAACAACTGTGCAAGTACTCGTTGCTCAAATGCTCGAAATGATCGAAAATGTTCGAAAAAAGTCTTGAGCTCTAGTTGTAAATGCAAACGATTTATATAAAGTAGTCAAGTGATTTGATAGATTTTTTTTCAAATAAAAAATATGTAATGCCCAAGCTTTCATTCTTTTTTATTGCAGCCCGCGCTAGATAGAGATTTAAAAAACTTTAAAAAGCTCAGTACTATACGTACTTTGAGCAAGTAGGATGTGCGGATAATAATTCCAAAGATTTTACCAGGAACGTTAGCAATTTCTTTTATCAAAGAGAATAAATCCAAGCAATTTTGCACTCCCCACACTAATATTCTCGACGAAGAAGCTACGATAGCACATATTTTTTGGTTTTTTTTTTTTTGTTCCCTTTATGATAATGCCACTTCTAACATGCCAAAATGAGTATTGGGCAATAGTTACAGACAAATGTTTACTGCATGCAAAGAGTTGATAAAGCGAAATGAGCATCGTTCTTTGGCCACAAAACACAGCAACAAAGTTCAAAAGCCGCGTTGTTGACTGTTAAGTCGTCAAATTGTTTAAATAAATACGTACACGTATGTATATCTATGTGTTTAAGTTGTTTTTTGATTTTATTTTATTTTATTTTATTTATTATTATTTTTGGTAAAATTTTATTTGGCAAATAATAAAAAAAAAAAATGTAAAAATGTTGGTTAGTCAAGCAACTGCCGCCGCCGCCGCCACCGCCACAAGAATGTCATTGACAGCAGATCAACCCTCTCTGAGCTCGGTAATACTCGCATGCACATACATATGAGTGTGTATATGTAATTCGATCTTACAGCACTTTTGGCTCAGCGAGACGAGGTCGTGTCGGCGTATAGAACCTGTTCGAGCACTAAGAGTATAAGCATATGCATACGAGTATATATGTGTATATAAGATTATCGTAAGCAAATTTTGAGTATTTGCCTAAATTGCACAGGCAAAAAAAAAATCAACTTAAATGGCATTGGTAATATTTCGTTTATTTTAATTTGGTTACTTAGACTTTTTTTTACATCTTTTTAACAACTGTTTTGATTTGAAAAGTGAATACGTATTAAGTACAATCAAATACAGTTATCTTTTTGTTTCTTAAAAGGGGATTCGGAAATTTCTTATTAATATTTTATACTTTTTTGAGTTTTTTAAATTTGGCGATAAAATTTGAATTTAAATAAAAAATTATTTTATTTTATTTTTGGCTTCTATTATATTTGAGCACTTGTTATTTCGCTTAAACAAAATTGTTTTTGCTTGTAATTAATAATTTTTCAAATTTTTGTTTAACTCATCTTTTGTGCGAAATAAAAAGAACTTTTTTTTGCTTCCATTGCATTTTTTGAATTTCAATTTTGCATTAATTTTAAATTAAATCTACATTATGCTTGAACGTAATACAAAGTCAGTTCGTAAATTTTTCGTAACCGGTTATATATTGTCAATATTTATTTCATATAATATTCATTTAATAAAAAAGTACATTTTAAATCGCTTCTAATTTTTAACAAAACAAAAATGTATTATGATGTAAATTAATCAAAGAAATATAAGACGTTGATGTTTTAATAAATTATTTAATAAATTATATTTAAATTAAATTATTTTTTTTCCAGAACAAGAAATTGTTTATTTCATTTGTCAACAATTTATAACAATTTTATTATAATTTTTTAATATTTCTTATTTCGAAGGTAGCCTTTGTTAAACAAAATAAATATTTAAATAACCGTTGATGACTGTAATCCTTATTTATGGCTTCAAAAAATTTCTGAAAAATCTTCAGTTAACAATTAACAATTTTTTTTTTAATTAACTTAAGGGGTTACAAGGAGGGTTAAAGGCCAAAAAAAAGTTTATTTTCTAAAATTTCTTTTCAAAAATTCTAAATAAAGTATACAATTTATTTTCTTTACATATAAAAGTACAATATGTGGACAACATTTGATGAAAATTTTAATGAAAAAACAATAAGTTAAAGCGTTGGCAGTGTCGTGAAGTAGGCCGTACACAAGAAAGTGCTTTCGCGGCAGACAGGATAGCTTTTTCAATCTTTACCTAAAATTAAAAGTTCAAATTTTTTCTTAAAGGAAGTGAATTTTCCTTGTCCCTGAACGAAGAAAAATTAAAAAAAAATAAAAATTGAATTTTTTCTAGCGTTTTTTACAAAAAACATAATTTTTGCATAAAATTAAGCCACATATTGACTTGTTAAGTGAGTTGAAATCAAAGATAAAATAAATCGTATTCGTTGAGAAATTTGTACTACCGATTTCGTTAAAGTGGTTATAAGAAAAACGCGTTTAAAGTTTCACCATCGGTCAAGCCATGACCAAGATGCCGGGTTATAAAACTCTCTAATTTTTACAGTTTCGTCTCGATTGACTTGAAACTTGGGGAAAATCTTCCTGACACTTTGTACTTTTATATAAAAAAAATTTAAAAAATTGATTCTTTTAAAGTTACAAGAAATTAATAGTTTACATGCAATTGTGAGTCTAAAACAAATATTTTTTTTTGAAAATTTCTGAAAAAAAGTATAGAAAAGTGGCTTAGATATATTTCATTGTTTCAAATTTAGTTACACATACTAAATATTATAATAATGGATCTCATTTTACTACACTGATAAGCAAATGCATACTTTTCCAAGAAATTTACACAAATTTTAGACAGTTATGAAAAAATTAAAAATACCAACACAAGCTTTTAAGAGAACCCTTCTATGAACCAAATTTTCGAAAAATAAACAATTGAAGCCGAAAGCCGGCAATATTAACGGCATTATTATTACATTTTCCTTTTCATATGTACAAAACTTTTTTTTTTTTTTTTCTTGCAATTATTCGCCAATTTTTTGTTCGCTTGAAAAATACTTTCAATTCTAAGACCATTACTCTTGTACGTACGAGTACATAAGCCTATATACATGCATTGTACGTATGTGCATTGTTGTTTTCTGTGTACAGTTTCTTCTTTTCATACAACACAATATATAAACTAACTTTAGCATCGAAAATTGCACACAAAGTGGAAGCAGGCGGCGCGTACAAGTGGAAGTCGTCGTCAT